CAGCTTTCCGTCTGAATCCTCAAGCACGATACTCACAGCAACAGTGATGTCGTATCTCAACCACTCCGTCTCAGTCACACGATGCAGTGAAACCTGTCTGATGTAAGTTTGTGCCTCCATGATCATAGTGCAATCGTGGAAGACCCCAGATCCTGCTGTCCCGCGAGTAGGTTGCCGTAAAATGGGCTCGTCATGTGGGAGGCCCACACTGATGTGGGTAGTTAAGTCTCTATATGCGTCTTCGATCGCGCAGCGTATCACTGCAGTACCGTTCCGGAGACCGCCTGGCAAAGGAAACGGCGGATTAAAATGCATCTGCGTCACGTATGTGCTGTTGATTTCTGTGGAACGTGGGAGTAGATTCTGGTGCAACAACCGCGGTTGTGTCGAATTCACATCGGTTACATACAGTCCCAACTGTCGACCCAACTGGATTGTGCTACTACGTCGCAGGCTCATTCCAGCCTTTTTGGGAAGAGGATACCCCATCGCAACACAAACCCACGTTTGCGAGTCTTCATTGAAATATAACTTGGCGATTTGTGGTGCCATGGTGAAACGAACAATATTCACCGAACTACTCAACCAGGCTCGTAGTTGAGGTCTGTGTGTATCACCCGGCGTGAAACTGACTGTTTCGCAGAAAACATGAGCGCCAAAATCTTCGCGGCGGAGCCGAGCGACACTGAACTGAATGCGGCGGATGAGACTTCCACCGGCCACTTCCCGCCTGAAATAACATTGCCTCGGGTAGAAAGTCATATCTGCGCCCTCTGATGATCCGCGTACTGTGCAGTCTATGTCAATGTGTGTGACCGTGAAACAATCCACCTCTCGTTCAGGGAACACGTCCGTGATGAGCTCCGGAGAGGGACTGTTCGATGTGCACAGGATGATGGAAAACGTTGGTGTCAGATAGTATAGCTTGAGAGGCAGGTTCTTCGTAGTTACTGTTGCTGTACAGGATAGATCGAGCCTTGCTCCCTGTGCTAGGTCTTGATCAGAAAACGCCGGTTTGGATCCAATTGTTGGGGTTTTCGGACAATCGTCAGTTGTTGTCAAGCCCGACAGTGCTGAGCTAATGTGGACGTCAGCAGACGGTTTGGGCAACTGCATCAGCTTGCGTTGTCCTCTGTTTTCTAGACGCTTAGGTCGAAGCAAACAATGGAACTCGGCAGATTTCGTGTTTTTGGCCAGCTGATGCCAGACAATTTGCCTTCGTTTGTTCTTAATGGTTGGGCCCATTACAGGTTCCCCTCCTCCAATTATCCGGTATTCTCTGGACTTTCGATTCGGTCTGAACAGCAATATGAGTTCCATGTTGACAGCAAAGCCCTCAAAATCACATAAGAACAGCGCGGCGGTTAAGGAGCTTTGGGGCCATTGTATCACTTTCAGTTTCAGATTATTCACGAAGGGTTCGAGTACCTTGAGAGT